CAGTTATTATGAAAATGAAATGGGGGAGAAGGAAAATCGGAGGGCTGGGATGGAAATTGAATGAGACACTTTTAGTGGAAAAGGAAATAGCTCAGAAAATAGGGGAGGAGATCGAACGCTTTTTTAAGGAGAATGAGACAGGGGAGGTGTCAACGGCCACAGTGTGGGAGTCTCACAAAGCGTATATAAGAGGAATATTAATGGCGATTGGGGCAAGAAAGAAAAAAGAAAGAAGGGAGAAAATGAATGAGCTCTTAGAAGAAATAGGTAAATTAGAACAAATACATAAGAATAGAATAACAAAAGAAATAGAGCTGAAGTTAAAAAAACAGAAAGAAGAACTGAAAGAAATGATAGAAGAGGAGAGGAGAAAAAAGTATATAATAGAGTTTTAAGTGAGAGATATAGATGGGGAGAAAGACCTGGAAAGTATCTGATGAGAGCCCTGAGGAAAAAGAAAAATAGAAATTATATAGAAAAAATAAAAGATGCTAAAGGAAACATGAAACACTCAAATAAAGATATCACCAAAGCTTTCATAGAATACTACAGGAAACTGTACAATATAAGCCCCTTGGAAGGTTCAGAAACTATAGACAATGAGAAGAGCCAGAAAAGAAAGAAATATTTGGAAATGGCTGGGTTACTAAAATTAAGTGAGGATCAACTAAACTCCCTAGATGCAGATATTTCACAGGAAGAAATAAAACTAGCATTGAAGGGGACAGTGTCGGGGAAAAGCCCAGGACCAGATGGTTATACAGTGAGATACTATAAAAAATTTAGTGAAATCTTAGTACCAAAACTCAAAAACTACATGAATGCACTAGGTGGAGAGATGGAAGTAAGAAGAGAATCATTACAAGCCCAACTCGTGCTCATTCAAAAAGAGGGAAAGGATCCCTCTCAGTGTTCGAGCTATAGACCTATTTCACTACTGAACACAGACACTAAGTTGTACGCAAAGGTCCTAGCAAATAGATTGAAAGAGCTAATGCCTGGATGGATACATGAGGATCAGGTGGGCTTCGTTCCAGGGAGGGAGGGAAAAGACAATGGGGTACGATCATTGATGCTAATCCAAAAGAGTAAAAAGGGAAAAGAACCGGTGGTACTACTGTCTATAGATGCTGAAAAAACGTTTGATAGGGTAAATTGGAGATTCATGATGGATACTCTGGAAGCCTTGGGAATCGGGCCTAGGATGAGAGAATGGATAGGAAAGCTGTACAGATACCCCTCGGTGGTTATTGGGGTAAACGGGGAGAGGTCAGAACCTATTGAGATGTCAAACGGAACAAGACAGGGATGCCCATTGTCCCCATTGCTGTATGTTATATCACTAGAACCACTATTGTCAACAATAAGGCTGAATAGAGACGTAAAGGGAATCCTGATAGGAGATACAGAACATAAAGTTGCTGCTTTCGCAGACGACTTGTTGTTCTATGTAGGAAACCCCAGGATAACACTTCCAAACTTAATGAAGTTACTAAAGGAGTACGGAGAACTATCAAATTTAAAGATAAATCCAACAAAAACGGAGATTCTAAATATAAACATCTTAAAAAACGAAAAAGAAAGGATACAAAAAGAATTTCCCTTTAAATGGAAAGACAGGGATATAAAATATCTAGGAGTAAAACTTACAGCCTCACATAAACATCTATATAAACTAAACTATATTTCATTGATTAATGAGATTAGAGACGAATTAAAAAGATTGGAGGGAGGAACCCTGACATGGATGGGCCGTATTAATCTGGTAAAAATGGTAATAGTACCAAAAATCATATATATAGATATCAAATGATCCCAACTAAACTCCCAGAGATTTTCTTTAAAATAATTAAGAAACTGATAACAAGATACATATGGAAGAATAAAAAACCAAGACTGTCATACGAACTGCTAAGTAGGAGGAAAGAAAGAGGGGGTTTAGGGCTCCCAGACTTTAAAAGATATTACAAAGCGGTAATATTGTCAAGAACCATAGATTGGATATTTAATAATAAAAAAAGCTGGGTGAGAATAGAGAATGAACTCAGCGGAATAGACTTGGGAAGAATGATATGGGTGCCAACACAATATAGGGGTTTAAATGACAATGTAAATACATACACTTTGAATGTTTTAAAGATTTGGGATAACTTACACAGAAGTATGAAATGGACTTTTAATTCCACACTGATTCCACTAAAAAATACAGAGTTTTTTCCCCCAGGCAGAGAAGAAATAGGAGGGAAGTGGTTTAAAAAAGATAAGGTGCAATTAGGAGATATCTTGGTGGGAGATGAAATAGGAGCATTTGGCGAATTGAAAAAAAAAGAGGGAGAGATTTTCACTAAATTAGACGAATGGCGGTATTTCCAATTGAGGTGTTTTGTTGGAAGTTTACCAAAACCTTTAAGGACAAGAGACAAATGGAACTTGTTCGAAAAGATATTGGGAACACAAGGTGATGGGAAACACGGGATTGCTAGAGTTTATAAAATACTCACTGAACTAGACACAAACACGAAGCCAACATATATAACAAAATGGGAAATGGATATGGGAGTTGTGATAGATGAGGAAAAGCAGAGGAGAATGTATAGATTAACTCACGAAAATGTCTCTATGAGAGAAGTAGAGATGAACTATAAGTGTTTGACAAGATGGCACATTTCACCAACAGTAGAAAATAAGATGTGTGGAGAGAGAGTACACCGTTGTGTTGGAGGGGATGTGGAGAAATAGGCACAATATACCATATATGGTGGGGATGCCCAAAAATCCAGATATTCTGGAAAACAATAATCCACTTAATAAGAAAATTGACAGAAATAGACATAAATCTAGATCCAGAAGTATGTATCTTGCACATCACGGATATAACGGTAAATAAATATAAAAAATCAGGGATATGGCACTATATAAATGCTGCAAAAGCCCTGATACCTAAGTTCTGGCGGCGAATAGAGGCACCAAAGGAAGGAGTCGAGCAGATTAAAAAGATGGAAAGGTTGTGCCACATCCAAGAAGATAAGATGGTGGCTTACTATGGGAAATGGGAGAACTGGGAAAAAGCTAGATTATATATGAGGTATAGGAAAGAATAAAGATAACAACAGAAAAATTCCACTTGCTGATATAAGAAGACGCAGAGAAAAGGTAGAATAGGCAGAGGGGACACGGGGTGGGGGGTGGAGGTGGGGGGGAAAGGTAACATAGACTATATAAAGTTGAAATGTTGGTTAATATAATACTATAGAATATATTTTTATATATATATTTATATTGTGATGATGAAATGTAATTAAAATGGAAAATTAATAAATATTTAAATTAAAAAAAAAAAAAGTAGAAAATGTTATGATTGGAATTTTACCTTTTTATTGAATATCCAGTCATTGAAGGAAAATATCCCCTTAGGTAATAACATTGGCCATTTGCACAATTTAAGCATTGGCCTCAGCATAGTTTTGTAAAGCTAGTTATCCTATTGGTTTACCCTATAAGATGTAAATGTTACATGCTCAAAGCTTGCACCTGTATCTATCTCTGTGTTACAGACCCATCCCTTTGCAAAGTTCTGATCTACTCCTGTGTGTTTGTTTAAAGCTGAAATGTAGGTATGGAAATTATTACATAGTTATATTTGTCCAGCTTGGACCAATGTTAGTATGTACCCAGGGGCGGACTGACCATTTGGAAACTCGGGCACTGCCCGAGGGCCCGGGGTCAGTAGGGGGCCCCATGAGATGCCCCTGGTACCTTTTTCATAGGCTTTTTTGAGTTTGGGCAAGGACACAGGGGCCCCATGATCCCCTATTGCCCGGGGTCCCCATGAGTTGTCAGTCCGCCCCTGTATGTGCCATACCTGTGGGATCCCTCTAGAACAGCCTTTTCAACCAGGGTGCCCAGGCATCCTGGAGTGCCTTGAGGTTTGTTCAGGGGTGCCTTGTATAATTGCCCAAACCTTGTATACAAGCCAGCGGGTGGAACAAACCCGCCTTTGAGTTACACAAAGTCACATGTTTTCATTGTGCACCATTACCACATTTTAGCTGCCGGGAATCCTGACAACCAATGACATCATCAGTTGATAAGGAGGATGTCAGCTGCCTGCACAGCATCCTAGTTTGACCCTCCCCTGCCCCTCTCCATCAGTGATGGGGTCACATTAGCTCAGTGATAGAGAAAAAACTGAGGGAGAAGAGAAACATGGGAATACTAGTCAGAACCAGTCTGCAAAAGTGTATTTGCTTTGGAAGAATAAATCACCTTTAATGTTGGGTGTCCTACATGTGTGGATGTTGCTGTGTTATATAAAACTATTAGAATAGTTTTTCACATTTTCGAATGGGGTGCCCTTTTAAACTTATGGACTTGAGACTTGAAAATTATTCCAATAGTTCCTCTATGTTCAAAAGGATGAGATAGGCTGCTTCCAGCTAGAAGATGGAAATCACTGTAGTAGGCATTGCTACAGTGATGTCTACTAGCTTCCGAGTCCTGTGCCAAATGGCCGCCGTGCTGCTTTCAGTAACCAGCATTGGCCAATAGAAAGAGCTAGAGGCTCCGAGCGCGTAGCCTGACTTTCCCACATCTGAGCTCTTCCTCCCCACTGACCCTCTTCCTGTGATGTCACATCCTATCAGAGTGTTCCAGTTGGTTACTAGGCTCCTTCCTGCACAAACGCCACTGGATCGGCTCTACAACACCACCATTCTGTAGGATTGACCACTATAGTGACTCTAACCATCTCCATGGTTATTGACCACCGGTGGAGCCTGCAGGACATTTTGAGGAATGGTCATCTCTCATACACACAGATGAGCTTGTTTTATTACTTCCTTTGTGAGTGTTTTTTAATCCTTTGCTATTAAATACAGTGTTATTACTACACTCTTCTGTCCCTGCATACAGTGCTGGCTTGCTCCGAGGATGGCTGCCGTCTTTTTGTGCTAAAAAGATTCCAGGCAAATTACCTGAGTAGGGGCGGACTGACAACCCATGGGGCCCCTCGGGCAATAGGGGATCATGGGGCCCCTGTGTCCTCGCCCACACCCAAAAATGCCTGTGAAAAAGCCAATGAAAGGTGCCAGGTGCATCTCATGGGGCCCCCTACTGACCCTGGGGCCTCGGGCAGTGCCCTAGTGCTCGAATGGTCAGTCCACCCCTGTACCTGAGACACTCTTATAAGGACTTATTGTACATCAGTGCCTTTACATACCCTGTTTTACAGTACTTGTATGCCAATATTGCCATTATCATCTTTTTACTTTATACATTTTATCATTTTTATCCTTACACTACTTTACTCCTGTGCACCAGAGTTACTCGTTTTTTACTATAGAACACAGGAGGTCACTGTCCTGCAAAAGTACCATTCAGGATTCACAGCATTTTGCCAATGAATGCAAAGTGTTCTCTGGAAATGGTAATAGATGGGGAGGTGATGCCTGGACCTGGCATTCATCTTTAAAAATAATCATGTAATTTTTGAGTTATTGTGTTATATCAATTGTTGTTCAGGGTGGGAGCTGCTCACTTGGACACTGAAGGATACAATTTACTGTTTAGCTCCTCATGGCTAAAGGTATATGTTCATGGGAGGGATTCATTGCTGGATGAAATGACATTTCATGGACTACTTTGTTATCCAAAATCCGCAAAGATGTTTGTCTTTACTTTCTGTTATAGGCCTAAACAATGTTTGGAACTTCATATTTTTGCCCATGTGGTGAAAGAGATATAGAGCTTTTCACTCTATGGCCTCATGTACACTGGACATTTTGTGACACTGCTCTTAGGAGTGTAGCACTACCCCCTTAGGAGTCGCTGAGTTATTTTCAGGCTCCCTGTCATTCTGGATCCCTCTCTGAAAGCCCAACCCAGGGGCGGACTGACCATTTGGAAACTTGGGCACTGCCCGAGGGCCCGGGGTCAGTAGGGGGCCCCATGAGATGCCCCTGGTACCTTTTTCATAGGCTTTTTTGAGTTTGGGCAAGGACACAGGGGCCCCATAATCCCCTATTGCCCGGGAGCCCCATGAGTTGTCAGTCCGCCCTTGGCCCAACCCCTGCTGAAACCACAGTACTCTTTTGACCAAAGTAAATTATCACCAGAAAATAGACTTACACACAGATTGGAGTGAACCAATATGATGTATAGGGCTCATGTACACTGCAGCTGATAAACTCACGTTTAGGAGCTTTTCTGCATTTTTTTCAGCAGCCCCTGAACTCACCCTAATGTTTTCCTATGTGTTCATGTACACTATGTCGTTAACAGCCGTTTACACACAGTTGAGTTTACAATTGTTTTTTTGAATGCGTTCAGGAACGGGGGTGATTCTTTTCTATATCCACTGTGCCTGTAATATTCCCAGTTTGACTTGAACACCCCTCGTATAATTAAAAGAGATGAGCCTTTCTACAATATTTTAGCTAAATCTAAAAGTTAAGATTACACTTGCAAATAGGGCCATTAGCGATTACATATGGAAGACCCTGCGGGGGTTCCCTGCAATTAGCTGCGGGCAGCAGCCACTTAGAAAGCAACAGGAGGCTGACAGCTCCCGAAGCTAATTGCTTGCATGTAGTCAGTGTGATGTGCCTGCCAAGATCAGTGCAACCATCACTGCACCAATCTCAGCCGAATCACACCGCACACCAACCGCTGTGTTACAATGCAGAAGTTGGTGTGAACGAGTCCTTAATGTGAACATATCCAGGGCAGCATTCAGCAGCAGCAATCGCTGTACTTAGCACTCTACACTAATCCGAAAATAACTCTTTCTAGGAATTCAGTAGCTTAGGGAAGGGTGTGAAAGATTAGCATTCATGCATTTTCAAACTGTCACTCAGCTAAAACAATTGCATAGTTAAGATCAAATGCACATGTTCCTTTCAATGATCCTCTCTCAGGGGCGAATGCATCAGTTTCATTAAATGCATCAATGACCAAAATTACCTAACAATGAATGCAGACATTTTCTCATTTATCAAGGGGTTAAATATTTCCCTGACACACAAATGTATGATCTCAAAATATGTAGGCTTACTTTTGTTTTATAAAATCTGTTTTATTTAGAATATGTGGGTTTATTTGAAGCCCCTCTCTGGGATAAAATCTTACCCCTTGCTAATTGCTTTATTATAGCAGAAGTAAAGTCCCAATCAGGGGCAGACTGACCATTTGGAAACCCGGGCACTGCCTGAGGGCCTGGGGTCAGTAGGGGGCCCCATGAGATACCCCTGGTACCTTTTTCATAGGCTTTTTTGAGTTTGGGCAAGGAAACAGGGGCCCCATGATCCCCTGTTGCCCGGGGGGCCCCATGATTTGTCAGTCCGCCCCTGGTCCCGATTTCAAAAACTGCAAGCAGGCAGGCTTTTTATTGCAGAAGAGACCTGTAATGTCTTTTCTGCAATAAAAGAAACATACCTGCTTGCTCGCAGTTATCTTTGGAATGTACACTAAGCTGCGCAAGCACAGCTCAGTTTACATCCCAGCACAGCTTCTGTGTGCCGGGATGACTGAAATCGTGGCCATGTGCAGGAATTATGTCATCCCATGTCAGCCAATGAAAACAGTTGCAGCCCAGCACGCAGAAGAAGTCAGGTAGAAGATGCTGGTGCTGGCAAAAGATGTCAGACCATTGAAAAAGAGGGAAGTATCTCAGAATTTAGCCGTGCTTTAAAAAACGACAACCCAATCTGAAAGCCCTTTTTATTAACTTCATGTGGCCCCAAATTGTCTCCTCTTCTGTTTACTTCCTGATTGGGTCCATTTTTTTCTGATCTAAAATGTAGCCCATTGATTTTATATGGCTGTTACACACAGACCCCCAAAACACCACATTTTTTGGTATTCAGGCATTTGTTCTGATCCAAAATGTAGCCCATTGATTTTAATTGGCTGTTACACACAGACCCCAAAATCACAACATTTTTAGGTATTTAGGTATTTTTTCTGATCTAAAATGTAGCCCATTGATTTTAAATGGCTGTTACACACAGACCCCCAAAACACCACATTGTTTGGTATTTAGGCATTTGTTTCTGATCCAAAATGTAGCCCATTGATTTTAATTGGCCTCTACACATAGGCTCATGAACTTGTGCTTAGTTTAGACCAGTAAAAAAAAAAAAAAAATTACAAAAATCTGTGTTGCTGCTTGCTGGTCAGTATTATATGCAAGTACATTACACCCCCTTGTCAAAAACAGCTGGAAGAATTTTTTACACGCCTGTACGTGAATGTGCAAATTCAAGCATATACACATGTACAGTTGTGTTCAAAATAATAGCAGTGTGTTGAAAAAAGTGAAGAAAGCTCAAAATCCTTCCAATAGCTTTTATTTCCATACACACAAATGCATTGGGAACACTACACATTCTATTCCAAATCAAAACATGAAGAAAAATAGATCAAATTTGTGTTGTTCCTCTAAAAAAAATTGAAGAAAAGTGAATATTAGACTGTTCAAAAAAATAGCAGTGTTTGTATTCTTCTTTACAAACTCAAACATTCACTATATACACTGAAAAATGTTTGAAGATTTTGCTTTCCTTTGAATCACTTAATTAATATTTAGTTGTATAAGCACTGTTTCTGAGAACTGCTGTACATCTGTGTTGCATGGAGTCAACCAACTTCTGGCACTTGTGAACAGGTATTCCAGCCCAGGATGATTGGACTACATTCCACAGTTCTTCTCTATTTCTTGATTTTGCCTCAGAAACTGCATTTTGATGTCACCCCACAAGTTTTCTATTGGATTAAGATCCAGGGATTGGGCTGGCCACTCCATAACATCAATCTTGTTGATCTGGAACCAAGATGTTGCAGGTTTACTGGTGTGTTTGGGGTCGTTGTCTTGTTGGAACACCCATTTCAAGGGCATTTCCTCTTCAGCATAAGGCAGCATGACCTCTTCAAGTATTCTGATGTATTCAAACTGATCCATGATCCCTGGTATGCGATAAATAGGCCTAACACCGTATTATGAGAAACATCCCCATATCATGATGCTTACGCAACCATGCTTCACGGTCTTCACAGTGTACTGTGGCTTGAATTCAGTGTTTGGGGGTCGTCTGCCAAACTGTCTCCGGCCACTAGACCCAAAAAGAGCAATCTTACTTTCATCAGTCCACAAAATGTTGCGCCATTTCTCTTTAGGCCAGTCAATGTGCTCTTTGGCAAATTGTAACCTCTTCAGCACATGTCTTTTTTTCAACAGTGGGACTTTGCGGGGGCTTCTTGCAGATAGCTTGGCTTCACATTGTTGTCTTCTAATTGTAACAGTACTCAAAGGTAACTTTAGACCTTTGATCTTCCTGGAACTGATTGTTGGCTGAGTCCTTGCCATTTTGGCTATTCTTCTATCCATTTGAATGGTAATTGTTCGCTTTCTTCCACGTCTTTCAGGTTTTAGTTGCCATTTTAAAGCATTTGTGATAATTTTAGTTGAGCAGCCTATAATTTTCTGCACTTCTTTATATGTTTTCCCCTCTTCTATCAACTTTTTAATCAAGGTACGCTGTTCTTCTGAACAATATCTGGAACGACCCATTTTCCTCAGAATTTCAGAGAGAAATGAACTGTAAGAAGCATGTACAACATTTGCTGCCTTCCTTCCTTAAATAAGGGCAATAATTGCCACCTGTTTTTCAAAGAATGAATGACCTCACTAATAGAACTCCACACTACTATTATTTTGAACATGCCCCTTTCAATTAGTGATTCAATTACACAGAATCAGCAGCATGCATGTCATGACTGTTGGGTCTGTTGGATTTCTATTACTCTACTACACCTGCTAGTAAATTATTTGCCATGTAGAAATATCATTTCTACCAAAAACAGTGATTGATCAGGTTAGTGATGTCTGACTGCTATTATTTTGAACACAACTGTACTATACAGCCCATCTTTGTGTTTTATGAAGGAACTTTCTGCCAGTAATGTATGGTGTTCATACATCAGTATAGTGTGCAATCACCCTTTGGGTGTCCATGCCAGTGTCTGCCTGACTTAGGCTGGCCATACATTATACAATTTTCTTGAGATTTTTGGTTTAGATTTACCAAAAACCATATAATATGAGGTCAAACCTAACAACACTTTCAATTGTATCCAGTTAGGCACGCTCTTGCACTACATAGTTGAAGGTAAATCTATAGGAAATTGGGCAGAAATTGGACAGAAAATTGTATAGTGTATGGCCAGCCTTAGACACTTTCTGTTGGATGGGTGGCAGCAGGGTCCTCTTGGGATTCAGGAAAAAGGTAGACATCAGTGGAGGAGACTATACGTCTCAGGGGGGCATCACAGTGTTGGATCAGTGACCTGCAACCTGGGAACAGTGTCAGTGTGGAACATGGATGGCAGACTTACTGGGGGAGATTTACTAAAGCTGGTTCACTCAGAATCTGGTGCCGCTGTGCATGGTAGCAAATCAGCTTCTAACCTCAGCTTGTTCAGTTAAGCTTTAGCAATAAAACCTGTGAACTGATTGGTTTCTATGCAGAAGTCCATGAGATTCTGAGTGAACCAGCTTTAGTAAATAAACCCCACTTCATCGATCTGGCTTCACAAGGCAATGGGGGGGGGGGGGGGGGGGGGAATAGGTTTTGCCCAGGGTTGGGCTTATGCAAGTTCTGATAATGATGTGGAAGCTAAACAACCAAATTCTATTTTACTGCAGCCAGACTAGTAAGATATTTACGCAAGTGCAATTTCAGATGCAACACAAACTCACATGGCAATGGAAATCACATTGTTTTAAATGGTGACGATTCACATCAATGCAACTCAGCACAGTGCGATTTTGGAAAAGGTTCTGTCCTACTTTAGTTCGATTCCAGCTCGATTTTGACCCCATAGAATATGCAGACCACCAGGGGCGGACTGACAACTCATGGGGCCCCCGGGCAATAGGGGATCATGGGGCCCCTTTGTCCTTGCCCAAACTCAAAAAAGCCTATGAAAAAGGTACCAGGGGCATCTCATGGGGCCCCCTACTGACCTCGGGTAGTGCCCGAGTTTCCAAATGGTCAGTCCGCCCCTGCAGACCACATCCAAGTTTCATAACATAATTGCACTGAAGCCTGGATCAAAATCAGATTGCAGCAGAGTGTACCTAACCTAAAGGAAACTGTAGTGAAAATACTTCTTGTCTGGTTTCACTGTTGATCTAACAGCTAGGATACATACCAAGTCAACAAGTAGGCAAGTAAGGAATTCAGATTCCGTTCTCTCGTACGTGCTTGTCCTGGGTCAGTGACTTAAAATGAATTAAATCCAGGGACAGCCAGGATGACATATTAGCTTTCATTTTGGTTTCTGCTGGTAGCTGTAGATGGCTTTATTAGTCTAACAGTTCCAATGAAGCAAAACACAACAAATGGATTTTTTGTATTCAGCTAATTTATTAACACCATTTTTTGTTTGCTTGAGCCGGCCAAAAGCGGACAGCTGGAGCCTGGACCGTAGGCAAAACCATCATTCTCTTTTGCACAATCCCTTGTAAATTAGCAAACAGCATTGTTTCCCAAATGTCTTTAAATTATATAAAATATGCATTGAAAATTATAGTATCTATAGCTAGTAAAAATGAAATCAGTTTCTATTAAAAACTCATGGTTCTTCTTTGTATCCAGATATACTGTATTCCTACCAGGGGCAGACTGACCATTTGGAAACTCGGGCACTGCCCGAGGGTCAGTAGGGGGCCCCATGAGATGCCCCTGGTACCTTTTTCATAGGCTTTTTTGAGTTTGGGCAAGGACACAGGGGCCCCATGATCCCCTATTGCCCAAGGGGCCACATAAGTTGTCAGTCCGCCCCTGATTCCTACTAAGAATTCTTCCTGTAAAGACATAGGCTTTGCTCTGGAGCATAACAAATATCTAACAGAGTCCCATACATAAGAACCCCTGGCTCCTCAAACGCTAGCTTAAGAGCATCTGTATACGTGTGTTGTTCTCTGAGGAGCAATCTGCTCTGGATCGCTTTTCAGACAGTATTTGCCAGACAGTGAGGAGTCACCTCCTCACCCCCTGATTTAACCATTGTGTTCCCAATCCATTCTTGAACTCATCAGACCAGCTTCTTCTATTGCTCCGTGGTCTAGTTCTGATGCTCTCGTGCCCTTTAGATTGCAAGCTCCACCAGCAAGGCCCTCATATTCCTTCTGTAGTGAAATGTATAGTAATTGTACTATCTCCCTTATATTGGAAAGTGCCAAACGGTTGGCGCTATGTAAATCCTTTATAATAATAACTGTACTGTAGCCCCATTCAGTTGAATGGGTCCCATTCAGCAGGTGGTACTGCCTGCCAAATGTGACAGCAGGGATAATGTTGGATGTGACACGTGTACACACCCCTCCAAGGTCTTTGTAGCTTAAAACAGCACTAAGCTAAGATAAAAAATAAAATACAATTTATTCCTGTACAGTATATTCTTAATTCAGAAAAGAACCGTCTATTTCCCTCAGACTCCTCAAAAATAATTTGCTCTTTTTTTCGTTGCTGTGATCCAACCTCCTTTTAGAGTGACGTTACTTTCATTCCCCATGTTCCCACTGTATGTAGGATCATAGCCACCCTCTTTTGCTTGCTCTTGACATGGACTAGGGACTGCGGGATTTGTAATGTGCTTAGAGCAGGGCAACTGAGCACAATTAACATGGACTGCTCATTCCGAACAGGAAACGAGAGAGAAAAGGACAGGTTTGGGAACTCACAGAGGACATTACAGGGGGGCAAGAAAAACACAGTAAGAAACGATTGAATGAAAATAAGATTAAGTTATGGACATGTATGGATTATTTTTTGGAAACTAAGGATATTGTTTAGTGTCACTTTAAAGTGGTTCTAAAGCCTAAATATTTTTTTATGTAAATGCTTCCAGTATGCCCCCTTACCACCCCCCCCCTTATATTTCCTGAGCCCTAACTCAAACCAGCATTGTACCCATTTGTAGTGGCACTCTCCCTTCTCCCTGCTCTCACAGGCTTAGCTGACAGCGAAGGAGCCATTGACTCCCGCTGCTGTCAGTCAAATCCTGTGTTGAGGCAGTGGGGGGTGGGGCAGAGCCATGCTATCTGCATCTATAGATGCAAACAATGCTGCTTGGGATCAAGATGGTCGCACACCAAGAAAAAGAGGAGCCAGGAGCGCCGACGGGGGATCTAAGAAGAGAAGGTTCAGCGCCGCTCTTTGCAATTCCATTACACGGAGCAGGCAAGAATAAACCCGTTTGGTTAAGAGAGATGGAGAATGCAGCTCAATTGGGTTTTAACTACCCCCCCCCCCCCCCCACAACTGCATATAAATGAGGCCTATAAGAGACCTTATCACATATAAAGAAAAAAAAAAAAAAAAAAAAAAACCTCAAAAGCACATACCTGTAAAGAACAAAGATAAAACTAACTCTCCTGCTGTCTATGCAGGTAAATTCTTCTTGGTACAGTGGTGACAAGGTAAGTGTGTGGGAACACGGGGGGGGGGGTAACAGTACTGGGGTAAGCGTAATAAAAACACTTGGGGTTCTTTCAGAATAGACCGCGCACATAAATGTACTGAAAAAGGATGTGAAGCAACTTGAATTTGTATGAGTTAAACCCTCCCGCTGGAGCGGGGTTTATGATCATGTGACTGCCGTGATTGTCACAGTGGTCACATGATTGGAAAAACTGCAAGTAGAGTTCTGGAGAGCCACTGGTAACTGCCAGGAGCACGCTCTTGGCACAGTTCTTTTTTTGGGGGGGGGGGGTACGCATATATATGAGGCCTCTCTGCATGAAGGGCCACCTGCCGAGAGGCCGCATATATACGTGCAGCCAGCAACAAGGAGTTAATGTATGTTGCAGTGTAAACGAGGCACATATAAAATAAACCATTGTTTATGTGCCCTTGCAGTGACCTGCATTTATCCAGTGCTGAACAATATACATCAATCAGTCACATCATTATGAACATCTACCAGGGGCGGACTGACCATTTGGAAACTCGGGCACTGCCCGAGGGCAGTAGGGGGCCCCATGAGATGCCCCTGGTATCTTTTTCATAGGCTTTTTTGAGTTTGAGCAAGGACACGGGGCCCCATGATCCCCTATTGCCCGGGGGCCCCATGATCCCCTATTGCCCGGGGGCCCCATGAGTTGTCAGTCCACCCCTGCCATCTACCATAATTGTCTGAGGCATGGACGCTACTAGACCCAGTGGTGTATTTAGGTTTTGTGCTGCCCTAGGCAACGCAAACATTGGCGCGCCCCCACAGAAAGAGCCTGCCCTTCACCCGAGCCTTCCACTACCCCCCATACACCAGCCATCATTCCCCATGGCGAGAGAGAGAAAGACACTCATCTTCACAGCTCTAGAAATCCCCAGGAATGAGAGTCAGGCTGTGCATACACCACCATGAAACCCACAGCATCTCTCGGAACCTACCCGGTCCCCATGCAGCGTCTGTCCCCTTCTTCCAAAGTGCGGTGCTGCGCCCCCCCCCCCCCCCCCCCCCCCGAAAAATTCCACCCTAGGCAAATGCCTTGTGGTAAATATACCCGACTAGACCTCTGAAGGTATGCTGTGGTATCTGGCACCAAGCCAGCAGCAGCAAATCCTTTAGGTTATGAGGTTGAGCCTCCATGGATTGGACTTGTTTTTCCAGCACATCCCACAGATACTCAACTGGACTGAGATCTGGAGAAAAGGGGGGCAAGTAATTACCCCAAATTCATTGTGTTCCCAATCCATTCTTGAATTCATCAGATCAGCTTCTTTTATTGCTCCGTGGTCTAGTTATGATGCTCATGTGCCCATTGTAGGTGCTTTTGGCTGTGTCCACAGATCAGCATATCACCCTGACCGGTCTGTGGGCCCATACGCATCAAACCACAATGCACTATGTGTTCCCACACCTTTCTATCAGATCTGGCATCAACTTTTTCAGCAATTTTGTGGTACAGAAATGTTTATATTGGATCGGACTACACAGTTCAGCCTTCACTCCTCACATGCATTAATGAGCCTTGGAGACCCACATCCCCGTTGTTGGTTCACAGGTTTTCATTCTTTGAACCACATTTGGTAAGTCCTGACCCCCGCAGACGAGGAACGTTGCACGTGCTGCAGTTTTGGAGTTGCTCTGATCCAATTATCTAGCCCTTGTCAAAGTCACTCAAATCCTCATACTTGCCCATTTTTTTTCTACTTTTAGCACATCAACTTCAGACAGCAAGTGAACATGTTGTCCTTGATTTATCCCACCCACTTTCAGATACAATTTTAACAAGAAAATCATTCACTTTACCTGCCAATGGTCATAATGTTGTCATTTTTCTTATACAATTGTATGTTCTCAGGCAAGGAGAGCAAAATGGCAACTGACCCATCAGCAGGGGCAGACTGACAACTCATGGGGCCCCCAGGCAATAGTCAGTCAGCTCCTGCCCATCAATACGGTTTTTTCCGTACTTCCAATGCTCACATTTTCTTGAGGTACCATTATGGCTAGGTGTTTGTCTAATACGCAGGGTACAGTGTAACTCACTCCTTATCCCTTTTGATTTCACAAAAAAAACAAAACACAAACACCAGGGATAGTTTTTATAAAGCAGTGAATATGATATTCAACCATTCACTGCAAGTTAATCCATCATCCATTTAAAACATGCACCGTGAATATACACCTGCAGTGAATGTTTCTTGAATATCACATTCACTTCTTGATAAATACACCCCAGTTTCATCTATAGACCAATATTTCTCAACCAAGGTGCTGCAAGCAATGGACATAACTACTGACTCTCTAGGAACAGGACACATGGCATCATTGTTTGCTATGGTGTTAGTGGTTATCCTACCCATTCCAAGCATTCAGGAGAGGATGAAGTCCACCTCCTCCAGACCTGCTCTACCTTCTGCCATGCTGCTGGAGTCAAAAGGTGGGGTTCTGATTTGAAGAAGGAATTATGTGATTGGGAGACTCTATGATAGGAGTCTATGCAACTGGGACAGAGGGACTCTTATGTATAGGGGAGTTCTGACATGAGAGGGGGGGGGGGGCCTTTGAAG